CTCTTCTTCCCATGGCAACTGACATGTCCCTATTTAAAGTCTTTGTTCGCAGACAAGTTCATCTTCAAGAGGGGTGGTAGGTTTCCGACACAACAATTGACGACATAAAATAGTTTACTTTGGCGTATGTATAGGTATTTACTTGACTCCCACAAGGTCAAGATGTGACACAAGGTCGATTAACGTGGGAAACCCGAGTGTTTCCACTCAAAGGCCACTGGTCAAAATTGGTCATAGCATGTCCAAGCTGGTCAGAGCTTAGTCAAAGCTGGTCATGACTTGTCCTAGCAAGCTAGTCGAAGCCTTGATCGAATCTCAGCCTAAGGCCAAGAAACGATCCACTTTGGCGTATGTATAGGCCGGTATGCTTAATTTACACTATTTTAAAACCAGTGATGTGTACTCAAATTTGTCTATCCAATAAACATACCGCTTGAAGTAATGATAAGAACAATACTACTACTACTACTACTGCTTCTACTACTAATAATAATACTCTTCGGTAAGAATCAAGTTTTCCAGTCACTGGCGTGTTTTTCGAAAAAAATAAATACGTCTAAATTCACCTTCAACCCTGCCGTGGCTTAGGATATATATATATATCAAGATCTTGACAGTCTACACTACTTCAAATGAAACTACTATCAATACTGGAAAAAGCGACATCAGCTACTTGACTTGGAAAAGTAATTTTCCTAAAATAATGTTTCAAGGGAACTTTTAAAAAAAAAATTCAACCGAAAACAGTATCGTCTGCTCGGTCAATAAATGCAAAATGTTTCCTTTTAGGGCAAATATTAATATTACCTTTACCACACACATACACACACGCTCCCGCACAAACATACAAACACACACAGACATACATAGCAAAGAACATTTTATATGCCATCGAGGAACTTCATGGAACCATAATTTTTGGTTTAATAAAGTTTTTCGAGGAAAGCAACGCGTTGGCATAAAACATTTTCCTCTCGTCTTTTACTAACAGTCCCTTTATAGATATATCTATATCTGAATTTTTACCCATATATATATATATATATATATATATATATATATATGCGCGTGTGTGGGTGTAGTTACTGAACAAGAGGCACCTACATATCTCAAAGGAACAAATATATTTCGATGTTTCCTTTTCTTTCCTATTAAACCTCAACATTTTTCTTCATCTTCTTCTTCTTCTTTAGTTGTTTCTTTATTTTATTATTTTCCCCTCCTAAAAGACAACAAATCTTTGCCGTATGCTATGAATGAACGCGCATTGTTTTCTATTCAAATATCGTAGGCACGACAGACACATACAAAAAAAGGTAATTTCCATAAATGTTGTTTTAAAAATTCGCTATTAATGAGTTAATCTCTTCTTCGTTGACGTGTTCAGCATGCCGCTTCCCATGTAACACGTGCTTCCTATGCACACTTTTATCAAGTATTCATAGAAAGCATATGCTGCTCAGGTGTCTAAACATGTCTTGTGGCCAACTAAAAGTGCTACAATCTCCCAACATAACGCCTGCAAATTACTTTTTTTTTTCTTCTTTCCTTCATTCAGAGATTTCTTTTAAAAAATATTTCCCTCTCTTTGCACTTGCCCTTTTCTTTAGATAGACTCCTTCTTTTTCCTTTTCTTTTTTTTTTCTTTTTTTTCTGTACATTTCTCAATATTTCTGGGGTATACATATATTGTTTCCTTCTTTCGATTTTCTTTGTTTCTTTCAGCGATTATAAACTTTTTCCTCTTTCTACCTGATTCTACATGACGTCAGCGGAAGTGACGCTTACAGACAGAGATAAGAATATATGATTATTGCCATAGATTAAAAGTAGAAACATCATGCGGGGGTGTTGAAAAACTCTCATCACAACCCACTTTTCAAAATCTAGCCATATATGAACAAACAGCTACTACTATATTAGGACTTCATCACCGCCTTGAATCCATAAAAATATATATATATGTGTGTGGGTGTGCGTGTGTGTTTATGGTTGTATAAAAAAAAAATCAGATAAAATAAAATATATCTGCCAAAGGAAAATATGTATAAAGTCTAAAGGAAAACTCTTTTTACAATCGTGTTCCGTCCACGGATGGACATTATCACGGACTTTATAAAGTACACCAGAGGAAGAAATGTTATGGTAAAGTTTCCCTTTTTGTCTTTATTCTTATATGTATGTATGTATATATATATATAATTATTTTTATTATAAGAGATTATAATAAAATATTTTGAAATCGCTACACAAAAGCTTTCATGTTTCAATACGATGACTGTACTTCTTCAGGCAATGGTAAGTAACTGGTGATTAAATGATTTTTAAGGAAATTTAAAAAACAAAGTGTTACCTCTTTTTCGAAAGTTAAAGGAGGTGTGCCTTGATTAACCAATTAAATATCAGATCTACGCTAAATAGCAAAGTAAGCTCAGAAAGTGGAGGCGGGTGAGTTATTTTTTATTTCAAGATAAACCAGAACATAGGCCATCAAAGAATGACGATTGCGGAAAATATGTCAGCGAGGAATGTATCGTGATTGTAGACGAATAGTACATGACCATCTTTTTGAAATATAGTTGAAGGGTGGAGTATGTAAATCAGACGTAAACTTAACAGAATTTAAAAAAAAAAAAACATTTTATAATTTAGAAAGCTTCTTAAAAGGGCATGTAGATAAAATTAAAAATGTGGATCATCTATATAAGATATTAATAATACTAAGTGGACTGAAATACATAGCAATATTAAAGTTGAATAAAAAAAAAAAGGTAATTACTCATAGAGGGTGGACAATTGTATACTAATAAATTATCGCTATAAGAAAAGGTAATACGTAATTTTAGTTTATCGTCATATCCAGGAGGCTATAGTTTTCACACACTGCTATACACGAGAAGAGATATTGCCTGACAATTGAGCGCTATTTGTTTTTTTTTTTTTGTTTTTTTGTAAGGAAATTTTATATGTGATTAAATTCTTTTTCAATTCCCCTTACGGTTTCCTTTCTGAATCAATGTGACAAGTTAGATGCAGAAAATCACAAGAAAAAACAGAGAATTTGGTTCTTGTATTGGAATGGCAGTCATCTCTGTTGCTCAACATATACCGACGCCAGTCAAAAACGTAGATAAAAGAAAAGGAAGGAAGAAAAAAAAACCTCTGCATGTAGCAATTTTGACACACAGTTTCTTCGGTCAAATCAAAAAGTACTTAACCCATCAATATACAGAAAGGACAGAATTTTTCAGATCGGGTCAAAATGTAACATTTGGCAGGAGACCAATCAGTTTCCAGAATGCAATCTAATTTGAAGAACAGAAAGGTAACAAGAATATGTTTGAGAAACACGGACGCACGTACGCGCGCACGGAGACACACACACAGAGAAACACACACAGACACATACACACAACCGCAAAAAGACATACACAAGCTGATGGACAAACACACACATGTAATAGACACACAAACGCAAAAAAACATAAAAGTACACATAAACACAAAAATACACGCACGCGTAGACACACACACACACACACACACACATAAACGCAAAAAGACAGAAACAGACACACTCATCTAGAAACCGCACAAACGCAAACATACACAAAACCACATCCTTACAAAACCAGACACTTATACTAATACACACAGACATGGAAACACACACACATGCATCAATACAAAAATAACAAAAAAAAACTAGCAAAAAAAAAAAAAAACAATCACACACACAGGCATGCTTGAACACTGGCATAAGCACACTTATAAAACAAACACACACATCACAAAGTGACACATACAGAAATTCACACGTGCACATACACAAACGCGCTCAGATGCACCCGATACACAAAACCATACGCACAGGCACAAACACACGCAAACACAAAAGCACCCACAGACACGCATACAAAAAGACGCACACACCAATACACGCAAACACATAAACACACGTAACAAAAAAAGGGCAAACATACAGACTTACACTCAAACACCCCACCCAAAAAGACACACACACTCACAAACACTCTAAACAAATTAACACACACACAAATATAAAGGCACATACAAAAAAAAACGCAAATCACATACACACACGCACAGACACAAGCGCATATAAAATCTCGCACACAATTACACATACACATACTGACGCATACACATAAACATGCACACACGCATACAAATGCACGCATACAAAGACGCATACGAATAGAGGCGCATACAGAAAACGATACGAATACTCACAAATGCATACAACAAAGACGCACACACGCATATAAACAACCACAGACACAGAGACACACAGATGCACATACATATGCAAAAACATAAATATGGATACAAACCAAGATGTAAACGCAAGTAGAATCATAGTAAGAATTTAAAAAAATGTGATTGTAAAAGAGAAAAAGATTATTCCAATGATGGAATAAAAAATGGCGGAATGAGGCCTGTTTGAAGAAATTACTGGAAATATTTAAAGTTATTTTTTCTAGTTACCTGACTGTCGTTCAATTATCAAGATTTTCAAAGTTAAAAATGAGAAAGATAAAAAAAAGTCGGCGTATCTCATTATTTTCTAGTGTCCATCCGTCAACGTCAATTTTGCATATCTATCTTGTATCTTCATGTTAGCAAGAGTTAACATATACACGCATATCTATAGGGAAATATATATATATATATATATATATGTTGGGGCGTTGTCATAAAAAATGTTTCATTAGACTGAATAAGAAAATAGATGGTCATTCCCATGAGTATACACTCTACGTGACTATATAAATCTAGTCTGCCTGTCTATCTATTTAATTTATCTCAGTAGAATAGAAATAATTGAATGAGAGAAAATATGGGCCGTGGTTATGTCCCCTTGGTATATACCCGTGCCTTTCCTTATTTCTCTCTTATACAATGATTGGTAGCCCATTACTTGACCAACAATTTATATCTGTTTACGGATATATACAAAAAACTATATACCTGCTTACCTATATCAATCGACAAATAGATAGATAGATATATAGATATGAAGACTGAGACAGGCAAATTAGAAAACTGAAATAGATAGATAGATAGATAGATAGATAGATACAATTGGTTGTATTTGGGCGACATTTTTTCATTTATACCATTTCGGTGAAAGACCAACTAATGTTCATTATTAAGGATATTATTTGTATATTTCTGAGCATTTTCTTCTTTCCTGGTGAAAATGTAAATATATCAGATTGGAAGGAATCTTCTGTCCGATTTTATCGTGTATATTGCAAATGAAGCATTTAATGCTTACAGAAATATTTACTCATCAGTATAATCTCCACTGCTTCTTAGAACCCCATTCCTTCTGTAAAGTTTATAGATGCCACGTTTGATAAAATCCTGGAGGTTTTATTTTATGTAAAATGCATAACCAAAGCATGTTCAACATCTTCTCTTTATGCTCTCCTTAGGCCATCGAAATGGTTCTGCAAACCCCGTAAGAATTGATAAATTGGAAGAGCAAGGTAGGGAGAACATGGAATTTCTTCTAACCGACTTCCGCTAAGAGATATTTAGTCAATCCTTCAGCATGAAGACATGCATTATCGTGATGGAGGATTAATTCCATTCTTTTGACGTTTTCTTTCCAAATCTACTTTCAAACAGTAAAGTTATTTGGAGCAGAGATCAATGGCGATTGTTTTATTATTATTTACATGTTCATAATTGGCGGTTGCTGGAATGTCCCACAGTACACTCAATATGATTATCTTTGCATGATGTTCTCCTCTCTTTTACTGAACAATTCTGTTTTCTAAACTGATCTACTGACGACGACGCTTGGTATGATGCTAATGGATCTATTTATTATAACCAATAAGAAGTCTGTCCAAAAATTGCTCTTGAAGTTGTGTGCAAACTTAATTTCCAGCTATTGAAACCATCACAATTTTTTTTTCAATTCGGGACGGACTGTCGTATGACTAACATTAAAAATATCTTTACTGATTTCTCTAATGGCATGAATTGCTTGTAACAGCAGGTTCCAAATCCTCTGAATTGACTCCTTTTGGGTGACTGTCTTTGACTCGTCTTCTAAGCTAAAATTCCCAGTTTTGGAACGGGAGAACCATCTCCTGCAAATACGTGCACTCAATGCATCGACTCCATAAAAGACATGGATGCATTTTGCTGCTGCACTTGTGTTGACACATTTTTGAAATTCCTAGAAAAAAATCTGTTCGTTAGTTGGAACAAATATAGGAGTGAGTTCCAAACTTTATTATGAATAATATCCTAATAAGCTGAAAGGGAAAGATACAAGTTATACACAATAGTACTTCTAAACAACAGAAGAAGCAATACTCTAATATTTTTTCTTCAACATTTTCACCTCAAAGATATGACAGAACTTTCATTCCAAAATGATAAATTGTCCGATGTCTGAGTACTTTTGTATTTCATAAGCTAGTGTCAAGGAGTTTTGCCCTATGTCAGTTTCATATTTTTCTATTGTCGCGTCTTCACACGTCGGGTAGATTTTGCAAATTATCGCGTTTTCACGCGTTACTTCGTTTTTTCGTATCATTTGATTATTATAGATACATATGTATAGTGATATACAGATGGAAATAATATGAATAAAAATAGGAAATTGCGAAAATAGATATGAATTATGAGTGACATAAATGGATTTTGCAACTTAACAAATGGAAGCATTAATTCACACATACTGATTGCGTCATTATTCCATCATCAAAAAAATTTTTTAAGCGTTTCACTCCAAGCAAGGCGGGAAGCCACTAGGACGCAGGGGGTTACAGAAGATTTGGAGCAAGATCAGATAGGAGTGATAGAAAAAAGGATGAGGAGAAGGATAGTGGTTAGATCAAGGCAACTGGAGATGTCAATTGACATTACATTTGAATAGTTGGAGATTATAGCTCTCAGGGAAACTGGAATAGGGAAGGGAGTTCCACAGGCGAGAGGTGCGAGACATGAAGCTATTGGAGTAGAAAAGACGGCTGCATTTAGGAGTTTCGACAGTGAAAGGGTGAGAGCGGGATGCCAGCCTCGTAGGGCGCTTGAATTCATGAAGTCTGGGAACCAGCGAACGCAGCTCTTCGGAGCAATTACCATGAAAGTATTTGTAAAAAAGACAGAGAGGCGACGGCGCGTCTGTGAGAGAGTGACTGTAGACGAGATGCCAGAACAGGGCCAATTATAATGCCTCTGAGCCTATCAAGAACCCCTGAGGCAAACAGAAAGGGCTCCAGACAATATATGGCAGCAATACTCCATGCAAGGGCGAATTGTTGATTTGTAGATCTGGAGGTTCGATTCCGGGGAGAAAAATTTCCTGGCACGGCACAGGGAGCCAACTTTCCTTGCGGTGGACGAAGCAATTGCCTCAATGTATTTGTTCCATCTCAGGCCAGCAGTCAACGTGAGTCCGAGCAGCCGCAGAGAGGTTGAGCGTCAGACATTCTAATGGAGGGCAGGGAAGGATCTCTGTGGTGATTAATAGAGAGCAGTTTTATTTTTGAGGCATGGTAAGAATCAATATAATTTCTTTTAGAAACGTAAACAATATCTGTCTCTCTTTACGGCTGCGAATACTGGATGATTTCCTCAAGGATGAAGAAGATACTCGAGGCGACGGAGATGTGGTTCTACAAAAGGTGCTGAGGATTTCGTGGACCTAGTGTGTAAGCAACGATGAGGTCTTGAAGAGGATGCAGACAAGGAAGAGGCTCATGCTTAACAAAGGAAGAGGCACTTGAAGTTTCTGGGACACATAATGAGAAAGGAGGGTCTCGAGAATCTGATACTCACGGGTCGAATAGAGGGAAGGAGAGACAAGGGAATACAACAAGTGACATACCTGTCGGGTTAGGTGAGGTGGATGACAAAACGTGGTCTGGGGAGGTAGCAGAGGGGAGGAACTTGTTGTGAGCTGCAAGGGATAGAGGGAGGTGGAGGGCCATGGTCGCTTACGTCCTGAAAGGACATAGCACATAAAAAAATATATATTTTAGGACCATTTGCAAATGTCTGCACATAGTAACTTTCTTTTATTTTAGATTTAGCTTTAGGTATGCGAATTTAGCGATATATTTCAACCACAGTTGTCCGATTGAATTCGTTTACTTTCATGCTAATAATTTTGACTTTCAATCCAGAGTTAAATGTAAAAACCATATAGTACTGATATTGAACTTTCGATATTAAGTTTCGTCGTGAATTTTCCACAAGTTTTAACATATGAAATATATATATATATATATATCCATTGAAACTGCTATCTACCGAAAAAGAAAGGAGTCAATCATTACTGTTGATCATTTAAATGACAGTTCACGCAGTAGATTTGTTGTTACAAACACCCAATCAGGTGTGCGGAATACGTGGTCTATTTTAGTCTAATTCATTAAAAAAAGCCAGACTATCTGTTAGCGTTTGATTGCGAGGGGCAATCAGGGATTGATCTCCTCTCATTGTGTCGACTTGGTGATAGGGTGTATAATGTCGAAAGACCCGAACTCCCTGATGAACTAAACCAATATACATCACTTAAGAGCGTATATTTGAAGTATATCTACACACACACATACGCACAAACCCATATGTATATGTGTGTATGTGTGTGTGTGTAAATATAAATATTTTTAATTTGTTTTTCTTAAATATAGGGTGACCCCAAAAAACGGGAACTATTTAACAATCCAACAAAACCAAGAGTGATGGAAGAAAAATATTTTATTCATAGTTATTGAAACCTTAAAACATGCCATTTAAGAAACAATGGTGGAATTTTCAGTTTTAAAAAATTACGTCCTGTAGATGGCGTCCTCCTGTACGAATGCATTTTTGAAATCTGCTGTTGAGTTTCCTCATTGATTGCTGCAACATCTCAGCAGGGATACTGTGAATTTCATCTTGAATTCTAAATGGTGAAAGGTTTACTTGCTCAAGGTCACTGTCTCGCAGCCTATATATATATATATATATAGAGAGAGAGAGAGACATTCATGCCGGTAAATGTTATTAATACTGTTTATTATAAACCAGAGCATTTACGTAAATATTTGTATCTATGAAAAGAATGTATAAACATTAAAATGTATTAAAACAATTGTCGGACTTTGTCCATTTCTTAATGTGTGGCGTTATTAGTTTACGTTTGGATACGAACGTGAGAAGATTCATGGAAGTTTGAAGTTTAAAAACAGTAAAATCGACCTTTCTAATCGAACGATCCTCTGTGGCTCGATCGGTGGCACTTCAGGCTATATGAAAATTCCGTATAGGATACAGGTTCGATTCCTGTCGGAGGACGAATATTTTCTAATGAAATTTCTCGGACATTCAGGCCGGTAAATGTTATTAATACTGTTTATTATAAAACAGAGAATTTGCTTAAATATTTATCTATATTAAGAATGTAAAAACATAAAAAGGTCTTTATATATATATTTATATGAAAGGCAGGATGTGTGTGCGTGTATGTAACGAATGCACGGCCGGAATTTTCAACGGATTTGCACCAAAATTTACATGCACATGCTCCAAGTTAGTAGGAAGGCCAAGACCGACTTTGCCTTTCCCAACTCCGATCGATAGTAGAAATAATCGATTTCTTCATGCTTCTACGGCAGTTTTCATGTAGTTTGCGGCCATTTTGTACATGCCAGAGTGAAATCTGCATGGCACTTTACTCCAATTGGCTCATTCGCTTAAACTCAACGTTGGTTCTGATTCCGCAGAACTGGGTTGGGTGTGAAAAATTATTTTTTGTTAACATTCTTTTTTCATTCGGTTTTTCCAGTTACGAGTCCTTTTTTAAAGCTGATCGTTTTGTGTTCATTTTGTTTAGTTCTTTTTTCGTAACAGATTTAATGTTTAGTATAGAGCTTAGAAAAAATTCGCAGCGTGAGATAGGCAAGAAGTAAGGCATGTAGCAATATCAGCACGGCAAAGGGCACTCCATTAAAAGCAAGGAAGGGGAAAAATATTTTAAGTCAAGTGATAGCGATTGCTGTATGAGTCGTACGATTTTTGAATCAAGCACGGACAACGCCGGGACATGCTGCTAGTATATATATATAACAAAACGTGGTTCACGTGTGCTTCTT